GAGACAAAGTATATGTGAACTGCTGTATGAAAAGTGAATTTACTCTGTAAATCTTCACCCAAATCCTAATTAAAAAAATAAATAAATAAAAATAAAAAGGAGCCTTTATTTTAAAAAATGAGCTAAATCTTCTTCTTTTTTCCAAGCATATAAAATGCTTTTGTGACAGCATGTAAATCCTCAAATGATTCTCTATGTTTTTTTGTGCTGCCAGGTACTCCAGGAGCAGATCCGTGCCCGGGACAACATTAGCTACGGAACTAATTCTGCCTTAAAGACTCTGGAGATGAGACAGCTTTCCGGTTTGGGAGATCTTCGAGGAAGAGTAGCGAGGTAAGTGTTCAAATGTTGGGGACTCTGTCCTTAATATAATTTTTTCCTACCAGTACTGACTGCTCTGATAGGGACCACAATAGAAGGTCCTGGATTGAGTGAGAGAAAAATAGGGAACAAAACTCAAAATCATAAAAAAGACCAGACTTACTGGTTTGATAGAGACTGATGGAACCCCCAAGACTGTGACTCTTAGACACCCTTCAAACCTGGCCTGAACTTGCCCCTGTGACTCAACTTTCAGTTGAACAATAGACCGGCCTATAAGGTGAACAACAATACCAGGGAGGTATGTACTCCTTAGAACAATCAACCATATGAGATCAAAAGGGCAGCATTTGCCCAGGTATAAAGCTCAGAAGGTAGAAAGGGGCAGGAAAGAATTCAAATGCTGTTGTTTTTGTTGTTGTTGTTGTTGTTGTTAAGTGCCGTCGAGTCGTTTCCGACTCATAGCGACCCCATGCACAGCAGAACGAAACACTGCCCGATCCCGCGCCAGCCCCACAATCCCTGCTATACTCGAGCCCATCATCGCAGCCACTGTATCAATCCATCTCGTTGAAGGCCTCCCCCTCTTTCGTCGACCCTCCACCCTACCAAGCATGACATCCTTCTCCAGGGAATGGTCCCTTCTTACAACATGACCAAAATAGGTGAGATGAAGTCTGGCCATTCTTGCTTCCAAGGAGCATTCTGGCTGCACTTCCTCCAGGACAGATCTGTTAGTTCTTTTAGCAGTCCACGGTACTTTCAGCATTCTTCGCCAATTAGGTGCTGTCAAGTCAGCTCTGACTCATAGCAACCCTGTATACAACAGAACGAAACACTGCCTGGCCCTACACTATCCTCACAATCTTTGCTATACCTGAGCCCATCATTGCAGCCACTGTGTCAATCCATCTCATTGTAGGTCCTCCCTTTTTTCACTGACCCTCCACTTTACCAAGCATGATATCCTTCTTCAGTGAACGGTCCCTTCTAACAACATGATCAAAGTAGGTGAGATGAAGTCTGGCCATTCTTGCTTCCAAGGAGCATTCCAGCTGCACTTGCTTCCAGGACAGATTTATTCATTTTCTGGCAATCCATGGTACTTTCAGTACTCTTTGTCAACACCACAACTCAAAAGCATCAACTCTTCTTGGGTTTTCCTTATTCATTGTCCAGCTTTCACATGCACATGAGGCAATTGAAAATACCATGGCTTGGGTTAGGGGCACCTTAGTCTTTGAGGTGACATGTTTACTCTTCAGCGAGTAAAAAAGAGGTCTTTTGCAGCAGATTTGCCCAGTGCAATATGACTTCTGATTTATTGACTTCTGCTTCCATGGGTGTTGAATGTGGATCCAATATGAAGTCCTTGACAAATGGAAACGGTAAACACAGGGAGGAAGTGGGAAGAGTGTTGCTACATTGTGGGGATTGTAGTCAATGTCACAAAACATAATGTGTATGAATTGTTGAAGGGAAAACCAGTTTGCTCTGTAAACTTTCACTGAAATCACAAAAATTAAAAAAAAAAAAAGACTTTTTCATAAATTCCATTTTAGTGGGAAATATGTTCATGAAATCACAAGTAAATTCTTTGCATTCTTTTAGTATATTCCCTCCTTTGTCCATAAAATGTAGCAATAGAAGTTAAACCTGATTGTGAGCATGCCATCGTTTCTTGTGTTTCTGCAATTTGAGTTGTCTTTATGGAAGGAAATGGTGGGCAAATTTAGCTGACCTGTGTAATTTAACAGAGCCATGTGCCTCTTAAATCCAGTAATAGAAAATTGGGACTTATATTTTATGTGTCTTTTTTTATTATTTATTTTTCTAGTAATTCATCTTTATTTTCTTTTCTTCAAATATCTGACCCATGATAGATCAGAATTTTTTTAAAATGGGTTTTTCAGCTCAGATAGTTTGAGAAGTGCTGTTTTAGCCCCTTACTACTCAAAGTATGGTCCTCAGACCAGTAATACAAAAACGAAAGCAAATCAATTGCCATAGAGTCAATTCAGACTCCCAGTGATCCCATGTAACCCCGTGTATTACAGAGTAGAATTGTGCTCTATCCAGTTTTTAGGGCTATGAGCTTTCAAGTGCTTGACCATTTGAGCCACCCGAACCAACACCAAACCCACTGGCATTGAGAACAGAGCTGCCTCATAGGTTTTCCCAGGCTGTAAATCCTTATGGAAGCAGACTGTAGAGTGATTGGTCATTTCGAACTGCTGACCTTTTGGTTAGCAGCCAAATGCTTTAACCATTATGCCATCAGAGCTCATAGGGCCATCTAGAAAGTCCTGAAATATTTTTTTTTTTAAAAAAAACCAACAGATCTTTCAGCTTAGGTAGTTTGAGAAGTGCTGTTCTAGCCCCTCACTATTCAAAGTGGTGTCCCCAGACCAACTACACCTAAGAGCTGGTTAGACATGTGCAACCTGGGCCCCAATCAACTAGAACTATTGATTAAAAACCAAACCAAACTCATGCCATTGGGTTGATTGCAACTCATAGCAACCCCCACTGGGCTTCTGAGGTGGTAAATCTGTACAGAAGTAGATTGCCCCATCTTCCTTTCACGGAGTGGCTGGTGGCTTTGAACTGCCAACCTTATGGTTAGCAGTCAAATGTTTTAGGCACTGCACCACCAGACCTCCTTAGAACTATTCATTAGAACCTGCATTTTAACAAGACCCCTGGTTTCGTGTGCATTATTAATGTTTGAGAAGGCCCGCACAAGGACTGTGTCTAGGATTACTTTCAACTAGCTGGAACAAGGTTGTCCAAAGTTTTTTATGAGTCTCTTCTGCCCTCTGCTGCTATTAAGAGCCACACATATGAATATTCCCCTACATGGAAGCTGTGGAGTGAGTTGGCTGATTTGGGTCAGGTTAAGGTGAAAATGAGGGAGCTCTGGTAGCACAGTGGCTAAAGACACTTGCCTGCTAACCAGACGGCTGGCGGTTCAAACCCACCAGCTACTCCTCAGAAGGAAGGTCGGGCAATCCTACTTCCATAGTGATACTGCCTCGGAAGCCCAAGGAGGGGTTGCTATGAGTCAGGGCTGACTCGACGGCACATAATAACAACAACAACAACAAAGGTGAAAATGAAGGCGGTTTGTGAGGGGTGGGAATGGAAGAAAAGAACAAGGACCTGCAGAGTCCAAGGCCACTTTGGAGCCTTAGAGGATTTAAGTGTTAAGGCGTATTCATGGAGACAACACAGGAAGGTCCTTGAATGCAAGCGTGTGTGTTTGGATCTGCTGTGTAAAAATTAGTCTGAAAGCAGAAGGCAGTGTGGCTTGAATAGGTAGCTCTGGTGGTGCAGTGCTTAAGATATTCATCTGCTAATCAAAAGGTTCAAACCCAACAGCTGCTCTGCAGAAGAAAGATGAGGCAGTCTGTTTTGTAAAGATTTACAGCCTTGGAAATCCTATGGGGGAAGTTCTACTCTGTCCTACAGGGTTGCTATGAGTTGAATCAATTTGATGGCAGTGGGTTTGGTTTTTTCTTTTGGTGTGGATTGAATGGCTGGCTGGCTGGCCACTCCCCATCCAGGTTTTCTTTCCTCATAAGAATGAACTCCAATCAGTATAACCTTGATCACAGACACCTGCTGGCCTTTGCAGCCGCTTCCTCACTTCTCTCTCCCCTTGTACTATACCTTTTGGCCGTGATCACCTACTTCTTATTCCTGAATAGTCCATGCTTTCCTACTTCTGTGCCTTTGCACATGCTGTTCTTATAGTTAGAATGCCTTTCTTTCCCCTTTCCATTATAACTTCTATAAGCAATTGCCCATGAGCAGATTGTGACTCATGGCAACGTCATATGTGTCAGAATAGAACTATGCTGCAGAGGGTCTTCAATTGCGGATTTTTGGGAAGTACATCATCAGGCCTTTCTTCAGAGGTGCCTCTGGGTAGATTCAAACCTCTGACTTTCCAGTTAGCAGATGTGTATGTTAACTGTTTGTACCACCTTCAAAGTTCAGCTTAGATGTCACTTCCTCTGGCACACCTTTACTAACACCCCGCTGCCCTAAGCTCCCCTAGCACTCTTTGCTCTATTAAGCCATCTATTGTTTTCTTCACTCTGTCTTCATGTCTTGGGTGGGTACCATGTCTAATTTATTTCTGTGGCTTCAGTGCCTGGAACAGTCTCTGGAAAATGTTAGGTACTCAATAAGTGTTTGTTTGCATGAATTAATAATCTAGAAAACCACTGTAACAGGACTGAAAAATCATGAATCTTTATTTGTGGCATTTGGCTTAAAAGAAATCCCAGCTCTCTTATAACTCTCAAGGAGCCCTGGTGACACAAAGGAAGAGCTTGGCTGCTAATCAAAAGGTTGGCATTTTGAACCCACTCAGAGGCTTTGTGGGAGAAAGACCTGGCAATCTGCTTCCATAAATATTGCAGCTAAAAAAATCTTATTGGCAGTTTTACTTTGTCACTGTGAATCAGAATTGACTTAATAGCACCCAACAACAACATTATAACTCTCAAAACAGGAAGACCTTAGAAGAACGTCAGAGCAACAGGCAGAATAGGGACTTCAGGGGAACTTTGAGGATCTTCATAGCCACTTTAGTTGCAGGTGAAGATTAAAGTAATATATATAAGAGGTATAGTGCAATGCATGCACTTGAGTGAGCATGTAATAAAGTTATTACTATCTCAATGACAACAGCAGTGAAATTATCCTCATGATACTGGTTCTAATTACAAAATGGAGAAATTATTTTGAAATGTGTTCAGGAGTTAAAACTTTTCTTCTGAGCTCTGGTGGTGTAGTAGTTAAGGCATTTGGCTGCTAACCAAAAGGTCAATGGTTTGAAACCACCAGTTGCTCCATGGAAGAAAGATGAGGTGGTCTGCTTCTGCAAAGATTTACAGCTTTGGAAACAATGGGAGTCGCTTTGAGTTGGAAACAACTGGATGGCAGTGAGTGTGCCTTTTTTGGTTTTTCTCTACCCAATTTGTTCTTCCCTTATAACAAAT